GGTGGCAGGAGCGGTCTCGATGATGAGCAAGTCTGTTGTCTACAAAATTAGTGGCTTGCCCGACTGAAAATCCTTGTGTCAGTGTTTCAAATCCACTTCTAAACAGGCAACATCAATCTGTTTAAAAACTCAACTTGGCCACCTTGCCGAGTATGTAGGCTAAGGACAGATTCGCGGTTGTGTAGCGCAAAGTGGGATTGAATCTTTCAGCGGGAAGATTCATTCCCATTTTGCACCATAGTAAGGGAAAGCCCCTCTTCGCCGTGGCCTCTCTCTCTCTCTCTTACGACTATAGTTTCGAGTTTTCTCGACTAACGGTGGCAGTAAGCAGTTTATCTCGCTTCTATTGGCTTGTTCTGAGCAGAGGAGTGCGGTATTCGGTACCCAACTTAAAAAAAAAAAAAAAGGGAAGGAAGGAAAGAAGTGGAAAGGAGAAGGTGAGGAGAGGAGTAAGGGAAGGTGAAGAGAAGGGGGAAAATGGGGGAGGTGGTAGGAAGGAAGGGGTTTGAGGTAAAACTTAAGGATTCGAACCGTTGGGGGGTTCGGCGGGAAATCCGTCGCGAGGCTCGAGACGGTTCGCTTTAGGTCCCAAGCTAAGTTTCACTTCCTCTGTTTTCAAGCTTGCCAATTTAACTTCTTAAACCTCGAAGGATCGCCTTCAGCGCAAGTTGGATGGAGCGCCGCCCGGTGTTTAGAATTACCGAGCGTTGTGATTCCAGAGTTTCCTCCTCCGTAGGTTTTTAAGACGGGAGCGCTCGAAGTAAGGTCCGATGTGCCTTATGCGGAGTGAGATTCACCGAGGCACCGATGTGCCCTCCTGTAGTTATGGCTGAACCTTTAGCTAGTTTTCTGGTCCTCGATAAGTCTGAAGGCATCTTGGTTAACGCCGATGAGGCAAGCTACTTGAGGGCTTCGACCTAAACGCAGTTAGAGTTTGTAGCGATGGATTCCAGAAGAGCTACTACCTCCAGCGTTTGGAAGAATTCATGGATTTTCTAGCCAGAAATGCCTTCTGCAAATTTTAGGTTATGACGCTAGGAGTCTCTTTCTGCGTTGTAGATATAGAAGTGTGGAAGGAAGCCTTTTCTGTCTGGTCGGTCGTTGAATCCTTCGCACTCTCTCTCCTCTCGGTCAAGCACTACAAGCACCTCATCGAGCTCTCTGAAGGAGAGTTTGATTGGTTGGTTAATTGGTACAGAATAGCCTGGGAGTTCAAGAGGCCTATCGCCAAAGCTTCGTTCTGGGCCTTCGGCTTTTTGCTGGGTGAATACAGGCGCTCACCGGTGGATCGGCGAGTCGTCGAATACTTCATCTCTTTACTGGTGAAATCAATGGATGATAGAATTCGTCTCTCCCTTATCAAGAACTTCGTTTTCGGCAGGATTGCGGATTGCCGCGAGGACGTTTTCGAGCTGTCAACTTGGGGAAACTGTGGGCCCAAGGCATGGCTCGTGTCGGTAATGGCCCTGCTGGCCGGAATCGACCCTCTCTCTCTCTCTCTCTCTCTCTCTCTCACACACACACACACACACACACACACACACACACACAGACGCGCACAGACACACCCACACACACACACACACACACACACACATGGAAATGAAATGTCCCGCTTTCGCGGAAAGATTCAATCTCACTTTGCACTATGGAGCATGAGTGTGTGTGTGTGTGTGTGTGTGTGTGTGTGTGTGTGTGTGTGTGTGTGTGTGTGTGTGTGTGTGTGTGTGTGTGTGTGTGTGTGTG